CTTTACTCCTTGGCTTCTCTACGTATATAGGTGCTTTGGCAGCAGCAGGAGCTGGGTTCTTATTTCCAACCCCATGCGTGCAAGCCTATAGGAAGGACAATAGAAATGTGACAGAGTGGCATTAATCTCATCTCTTTGACATAGCCACCAAAAAAGCCATCTTGACACAGTGGGGAAGAACTCTGTCCCTTTAGAAAAGCTGAATAAGCTATTTTTCACTGGAAAAAATAAGCAAAACCCAACTAACAACAACAACAAAAATCAGTGGCAGGGCTAGAAGTAGGGAAATTGAGAGTCATATTTGTTTTTGGAACATTTTCCCTAACTGGAATAGGACTGATTTCCAGGACAGAGTGGCAAGAAAGGGCTCAGGGGCATTTGGTTACACCCGAAGTTCTACAATACAGCGTAGGCATGGTCTACCCCACGTGGACTGCAACTGACACAATATATACCAGTGATTATACACAGTGATTAGGGACTCCTTGAAAATTGTTATTGATTTTTTTTCTGGCAAAATTAAAAAAAACCTCCAAGCATTCCCTTAGAAGACTCTGAGTTACATGTCCATGGTTAGCTAAGAAAACTAGGTTTAATGTCCAAAACCTTTCCCTGGTGCCTCATCCTAGACTCTGCTGGGATTAAAACTCTGTCTAGCCTATGCCAAGCACTGACAGCTGGGCTCATTTCTCCTGCAGCAGAACAAGGCAGGGGGTGGGGGAGTTTAATGCTTTCTCCCTATATCAAATATCAGTCAGTCAGTCCATTAAGGGTGAGGGCATCCCTAAGACCCAGCCCAAGTCATAGTTGTATGGGGCCAAGAAGGATGGAAGGGGATTGTATCAGCAGCAGGGAAGGGCCTGAAAGCTACATTCAGAGGCCTTTTGGAACATAGTAAGGCCAGCCCTAGCAACATCAAAGGCTACAGCATGGAGCTAGTTTATAGAGCTTAGTCAGTTGGGTTAGACCCTTCATTAGGATGCAGAACAAACGTCTTCTTCTTGGCAGACATGAGCAAGAAACAGAATAAAAATTTAAATCGGATCTGAGCCCTGAATTCTCCATTCAGCACGAGTTCCTCTTATTTGCGTAGGAACTCTAGTTCGCTTGGCTTTGTTTGAAATAAAGGTAACACGAAATTTCAGGGCAGGATGAGGTCAAAGTCTCTCGCTTTGGGGCCAGCAAGTCCTGGGAGGACTCTTGAGTCAGAATACCCCATCCTAAGAGGAAGACGAGCAGAGGGGGAGAGCATTTGCCATGGGGTACCAGCAATATCATCTCTCTACAGTTGCATCTTCAGCAGTCAAACGCAACACTGAGACTTTGGAAAAGACCTTTCTTTGTTTGAGTTGAATGAGTTTGAGTTGTCACGCTGTACAGTCATTGATAGTCTGATAGTTGAGTGGATGCTTTTTAGCATGCAGAGCACCAGGATGAGGCCACTAGTCAGCTTGTTCCTTTTTCCCCAATGTGCATCTTTTGAGGAAGTTGCTGCTCTGTTTCAAACTATCACAGGCTAAGAGAAGAAGATGATCTGGTTTTGGGGTTTTTTTTAATGCCTCTGATTGCAGGATTATTTGCATTAAAATCCACAGAGTCAGAGAGAAAAGCCTGAGTTTGACCTTAATCACGTCAGCATGGCTAAGGGGTCACTGGGAGGGACATGCAGGTATACTGCAAATTCAGTTTAAGATCAGAAAGAAGCCCGAGTATTTAAAATAGGAATTACTTTTCTCTACTTACTGTATCATCATAACAAAGCATGCTTATGTGTAAGAAGGTATTTGTGTCTGGTCACTAGAACTTGTCTTTATTGTGCTTTAGGGCAGAAGAAAGAAGGAAAGATCTCACGCTATTGGTTAGCATTCATTTTACAATTTCATATAGATTTCTGCTTTAAACAGTTTCTGAAGTGAAATCAGACATATTTAGATAAAATATTGCTCACCCTGAAACAGGACTGATTGAAATATTAACAGATGTTAAAAAGATACATGCCTTTGTGCTGTTGAAGCCTTTGAATCACTGTATCAGCCCCTCAAATTGTAAACAAAGAGACAATTTCCTGGCTGCCATAGTAGAAGAGAAAGGAGACTGCTAGTTGTAACAACCTGTGCTCTTAATTATTCTATTAATATTGCAAATTGTATCTGACAGACCAATTAGGCTTTAATATTACCCTAGAAAAGCAGCTTGACCAATGTTGATCATCTTGTTAAATAGATGGAATTTCGTTTAACAGAGGAAAAAATAGGTTCCTTGTGGTTTATCTCATTAAAGTGATTTCCGTAATTCCAATAGTGATTCCCTATCTTTAAAAATAAGCGTGGTAACAGACAAAAAGACACAGATGCATTGGGATGGTGAGGAACTTAGAAGATTTCTGTCATGAACTGTCCACTGCTGAATCTGTTTAATTTGGCCTTAATTTATACCTCAATGAGATAATTCCACAGTCTTCATTCCTCTGAAGTATGTCCCTTGGATTCCTTTAAAAGCCTGTCTCTCTGTGTACCTTCTGTTGCACCACCTCAAATCTTCTACATGCACTTAACATTAAGGGGCTCTAATTTTCTTCTCCCTTATACCTATTTCTCATCAACATAAATCCGTTGACTTTAATGGGATTGCACCTGCCTTGCTCCAGGAAAACCAGATAGTAAGAATCAGCCTCATAGTGTCCAAAGTCATATTCAATATTCCAAAAGTGACCATTTTATAATTGTTTTCTGAAAAAATAAATTTCTTTCGCTTGGCTCTACCTCATAAGACAGCACTGTTGCTGCAAGACCTAACAGACAGAAAGATTCTTTTAATCTTCCTTTAATATTTAAACTGCAATGCTGTTCAGGAAACTACATGACTTTATTTAAATATTTAACTATATGACAAGATTTTAAAAATTACAGCTACAGATATTTTTCCCAGTTCTTCATTTTGCTCTTAAAAAACAAATCAAACTTTAATTTCTGCCTTTTTCTCCCCATACACTGGAAAATACTTAGGATATGTTTTGGCAAAACTGAAGGAAATATCTTAAGAAGAAACATCTTTGAAGCCAAAGAGAACAGAGATTTGCCATGATGTTTTCCCACTGTGAGGTTTGCTATTCACATACAAGAAAAAAAGACAAACTTTATCCATGTTATGGAAGGCAGCAATATAGGCAGCCGGAAAAAGTATCTCCTAGCATAAGCAAAAGGCAAGCGTTCAGCTGCAAACATCATAAAGTAACAGTATTTTATCCACCTAAACTGTTGTTTCACAAATCAAACTACAGGATTCCCGTCAAGTTAAAAATCTTACTGCATGTATTCTTAAGTGTTTCGTCCCTTTTATTCTGTTACTACCTATACCATTCATTATTTAGAATAACACAGAAGTCTCATCCTGTCTTTTTTCTACTACTTCCTCTGTTGCTTGCTCTGTGTGTCACATGGATGAAGTTTCTACACTGGAATTGCAAAAGAAAACTACTGAGAGGTTCATTTCTTGCCTTGACTGTAATGTAGAGCCTGCCAAAACTAGGGCTGAGGTTTGCTGGAAATTTAATTAATTTGAAATTTAGGTTGGTTCTGAACCAGACAGGAATATTTTATCTTTTTTTTTAAATTCTCTCCTAAAGACATGAACAGAACTAATGTCACTGAGCAGCTGCAAAGAGCGCAGGAGCTTCCAGTCCCTAAATGACCCGCTAAACAACTACTCGCAGGAAAGAGCCAGCCACATTAGCTCTGAGGTCAGGAACCCTCAATCTTCAGCAACCCCTTCCCTACAGAAAACACATGAGGAATCTGCAATCTGTCAGAATGTGGCATGCTGTTCAGAACCAAAACTTTTTCAGGCTTATAGGAAATGTAAAATTACCTCTCCTCTGGTCTGCTGGGAGAAAAGTCAAGTCTTAGGAGCTACTTGGATCTGTAGAAATTGAAAGGTCTTTTATCTCAAACTGATCCATGGAGGTGCCATGTCACTGTGATTTAACAGCCCTGATGATGTAAAAGCAATTCTAGGAGTGAAATCCATTCCTGACAATGACGTGTGGGGAAAAGATTTTGAAGTAGTGAGGTTTAGTGTATATTGGGTGCTCTCACATGGAACTGAAAACTCTGGAAGCAGCCAAGGCATTGTGTGCCTTATGGCCAGAGTAATGCCACAGCAGGGCACAGTAAGTCATGCTTTCTGTTTTGGGCCAAATGCGATCCCAAGTGGATTTCAACAGTATCACTGAAATCCTCCAGAGTCAGCTGGAACTCTAGCTCAGTGACTTTAAATGTCGCACAATGCTCCTTTCAGCTAGTAGAGATTATATAGCCTTTATCATAGCACATATTGCACAATTCTTACTCCTTCTTGCTGTTTCAAGCCCTTTTAGATGAAGACATTTGCTCCAAGCATGAAGAATTAAATCACTAGAACAGACAATTGTTTTGAGCTCATTTGAACCCAGCTATTATAGAATTAGCTTGGCAGGACAAGACCAGGTGTATGACATATAGTGAGGACCACCAACACAGATATGGACAGAAACTACCCTTTCTCATTTGTTTTGATCTCAAGTCTCTGTCATTCACGGTGCCAGAACCCTACCTTTCAGGTAGCTGTGAGGGGAGACAAACGTTCTGGGACTGACTGGCCAGAGCATCAAGTGCCAGGGTCAGCTGGGGTATGTGCTTTTAGAAGAGAACAGCTGATCCACACAATGGGAAATAGCAGGCAGGTATATCTCTGTCTGATAACGCTAGTCCATTACCAGATTTCTTGTGTGCCATTTCCCAGGTCCACTTCTGTTTTACTTTTTTATACAAAGATATAAAGCTCTAGAACTATCCAGTGGAAATCTTAATAAACTGCAAGCAACGTGTCTTAAAAAAAATGCTCAGTGCAGTCTCTGGCACTGTGACTGACTTAATTTACATATCAATGACACTCCTAGCAATTAACAGCCTGCAGCAGTGACAACCCTGGAGGCTGGTCATACGCACAGTGCCTGTACTCACAGTTTTCACAGCGACTCCCTGTATAGCCAGCCAGACAGGCACATTTGTAGGTACCACTTTTGTCTAGAATGCATGTTCCATCATGAAGACATGGAGATGAAGAACAAGCTATAAAAGAAAAGCAGAATGTTCACGGTCTCTCATAGGATGCAGGTTCTATCTATTTTTCCTTATGACAGTTGTGTCTTGGGGTAAATTACATATTTTGGTTAAAAGTTAGGAAAACACAGTAAAGGGCCTAATGCATGTCAAAAAGCCTTCTGCTCTTCTTTCTTACTTACTGGAGAGGGGATCTTATAGGGATGCACAGTTCTTTTCCCAGCTTTTATCATTTACTCTTACCATTTTCCTTTAAATGTAGTCAAGTGGTGAGAAAGGTTTCTTGAAGAAAAATAATTTATAGGAAGCTCCAACAGTATTTAGAGCTTAACCTAAATTAAAGAAGTTTAATATCAACCTACAATTCTTCTTCCATTCATCTCAGAATTTAGGGATAAGTTCTGGGATCCATGGTTCTGACAGGTTTTTTGGGTCTCAGATCTTGTCATCCCAGACTTTGGGAGCTGCTTTGCCCCGAAGAGCACTTCTTTGGTGTTGGGTTCAGGAAGCTCTGAATGGTCATGATGACCCCAAGCCTGCTGGGGATGCTCTTGCACACCACATATCTAGCAGTGATACACATCAAACTGTACATATAAGCATAAATTAATACCAGAATGTGTAATTGTCCCATTTCATATCAGCAAATTGCACTGTGCAATTCCACATACTTTTTGTGCCTGCTCCAAGGCAAGGTGAGTGAGTAGAACATAATTTAATCTCAAAAACACAAAGAACTCATTTCCACTTAGATTATTTTCCAGACTGAGTGTGGGTTTTAGCAGACATAAAGGAGAGCCAAAATCTCAAGATTCAGATCCAGTTTAAGATTCAAGTAACTCCAACACCTGAGGAATTCAGGATCTGATGCCCTGCTTCAAGTTCGTCTTAACAAAACAAGACTCTGCAGTAAAGTTCACATCTGGATCCATACCAGAATTTGAGTTGTTTAAGATCACACTGACTACAAAACATATTCCTTGACATCTCAAAGAATTATCCAAGCATGATTGATAACTTATGGATTAAACTTGCAATCATAATTGCCAGAAAGGTCTGCATCCTAATACATTTACAGATCATCTTTGTCCTTCCATGCTAAATACACCGATTACACTGATTACAAATATGAACCTTTGCCCCAGCTGCTGAGCGTTGCAACAACAAGCAACCAGCCCTGGGGGACCTATGGTGAGGCTGTGTACTGTTACATTTACAGCACTCTTTCTGCTGCAGTCTAGAATGACAGTATTGGCATGAGCAGATTTCTTTGCCAGGACTTCACTTGAAGTGTAATCTTTGAGTCTCTTATATTCAGATAGCAAGAGACAAGAAATATAGATGCCACACATGGATTTCTCTGCAGGTTTCATGTGGTGATGTATCAGCAATCGTACATGGCTGGGCAATTAATATCTTCCAGGTCTCTTTGAAGACTGAGGTTTGACTAAGGGCAGTAATTCATTTGTTAAAAGGAATATATATGTGGCAATTGTACTGTATCCAACTAACATAAAATATTACTGAGAAAGGGAAGGAGAAGCAGAAGAGCCTGTACAGACAGATATTTGTAGTCACTGGTTTGAAGCCAGTGAACTTTCAGCCTTGTCCTTGCTCCGGCTTTGTCGGATGATTCTGTAAAAGTACGCATGTCAAGTGAACGAGGACAAGTGCCAGATACTGTCCTTGAAAATGCCTGATACTTAAGAGCACTAAATATTTTTCTTTTTAAAGAAGTCTTGATTTCCTGGCTTCAGTGAGACAACATGGGACAATACTACAAAAGGTTAAAGCCCCTATGTTGTGTCAAAGATCACTAGCTTGGGGGTTCATAAAGCAAAGCATTATTGAAATTCAGTAACAGGTTTTAATCTAACTAGATCCAGCATATGTCTAATCCTCAAGAGACCCTTATGCCTCCCCATCTGGCCCCACATCCTTCTCATCTGAAGTCTGTTGAGTGACTTCTAGTCACTCATGCCAATTACTGGTTCCCAGTTAACACTTGCCATGGGATGGGACCTAACACCTGCTTCCAGACCAGGCAGCGCACCAGGTTGTGTCGTTTCGTCCCTTAACAACTACACATGCAGTGCTGTTTCCCAGAGGGGGATACAGGCTTTGCAGCTTATTTTGTATCAATCAAAGCCTCTCTGGCAGTTGAACTAGTGACCTCTGTGCAGTCAGTGCCACTGCTTCAGCAAGCCATGACTTATAAGCCAGTACAGAGCTCAGGAAGGAAAGACAGAAAGGAAAGGAATTCAGTTCTGACAGCACAAAACGCTTCTTCAGTCCTCTCCATTACACCACTGAGGTGCTAGGGACATGAGATCACCTCCACGGCCTGGTCCACATACTGTAAGCACAAGTGCTGTTGCTGCTCTCACTTGCAGCAGAGGGAATTGCTCTACCAAGCCCTGTGAAATCTGTTCTGGGGACCTCAGTTTTTGCACAGTGCTGTGCACAGAGGGAAATGTCAGGGGAAATGCTTCAGTTTGCAATGTGCTGCCAAAGCTTTTGATCCTGTGCTGCCTCCACTTTCAATTCTACGTTGCCCCATGCACGCCGTATTCTTCCCCTAAGCTGTCCTGCTGGCCGGTTTAATGCTTCACATAAAAAGACACTGAGAATGTTTTAAAAGCCTTTCACTGCAGCTACACATTATGCCAGAACAGCCGCATAATGAAGTGCACAATAAGACCTCCTCACAAACTCTAAGAAGCCCTTTGCAACATGCTCTGTGTGGATTACCACACTTGCAGCCACCCAGCCTCAGAATAATTACCACTAAAAATGGAGCGGAAATAAAGTGCTCGGTATTGAAACACCGAATGTTCCCTGCCAGGCGGAGAACACAGAAATCAGTTCAGCTTGCACCATATGGAAAATGTTAGTTCACTGAGTGCAGGCAGCCCTTATGCAACACAGGCCATACCTCATTTGTTTGTTCTGTATCACCTCTCCTGCTCTAAGTCCCGGTGAACCATCAATAGCTAACTGCTCTGCTATGTTACTAACAGGCACTAAAGGTAACATTTGAAGAACAGGACAGGCTAGGAAATGGCATAGTCATTGCATCCAGCTGTACGCACATTTCAGATTTCTAGTTACACTCCTGATCATTGTTAACAGCGGATCCACTGTGTATTTATATAAGGATTGTATAAACTAACTAAACTTCCCGAGCCACATATACCCTGGATGACCTCACGAAATGTGGGTCACCAGGGTGTGCAGCAGGCAAGTTATGGTGAGTCGTAGATCCTGCAGGGTTTATCTGTGGCAAAGCAACGCACTCTGCTTAGCCTTCTGTGCCAGGAGTACTGTGGACAGATGTGATGAAAATTCCTTACATAGCTAAACAAGGAAGATCCGGGAAGAGTGTAGAGGCTGCTTCAAATGCAATGGCAAAATGAGGAGCCAGCTACACTTTCAATGTTATTTTGCAGCCAGAAAGAAAAGATAGAAAGCAGTGTGGGTGAGCCAAGCACTGAGTACTAACAAAAACACAGGAATTCTGGAGCCCTGCTTCTGTCATTCATAATAGTGTTCATCACAGAATGGGAAATGCTTCTCTTTTTTTTTTTTTTCTTAAGGAAAATAATCTGTCCTTTGTACACAATTTTTTTTAAGCCCTAATGGTATGATACATGAGCCAACAAAAGAGTCATGTCAGGGCATTTTCACTGAGCGAACTATGAGGCTCAGCATCAGGTTTTTGCTAATTGAGACAGGGACTCTGCTCCTGCACACAGCATTGAGCAATTCTGCAATTGCAGATACACATTCCCCTTTCTCTATTTCCTCTGTGCTCTTAGCTCTCAAATTCAAACAGAAAAGTATCACAAAACAGCAGCTTTTCGGTGCTGGCAGATGTGCTTGTTCTTCACACAGGTAGAAGGAATTCAGTCTTTGTTAGAAGAGCCTCACATTCCCATGCCATCTGATGGCTTTTGAATCTTCCCTGCACTGACTTTGTCTGAGTTGCTGTTGGAAACTCAGCATGGAAGTTTTTAATGAACCAAAACAGGGAGAGAGATTACTGAATTTGAGTTAATGAGTGGAATGTTCCACTTCTGGATTATTTTACCTGTAATTTCTTCAAAGACAGCATGAAATCCATCAAAGTTCTTGGATCCATCAGACTGGAAGAGGACATGGAGTGAAGAGCCAGTGCTTCGGATGGGAGGCGGCCTCTCATTTCCACAGAATTTCTTAATTATTTGGCTGTCCAAATTGTCCCCATCACGGACCTCCACATAGTCATACTGGCACATGTAGTCAAACTCCAGGCTCAGCATGGAAAATCTTGGGGAACAAGGACACACAGTTAGACTGCATACTCTCAGCCATGCACCCTGGCTCTGATTTATATGGATGTTCGGTTATGTTAGTGCCTCCCTGCCTCTATGAATCAACAAGTCCCTGATCACATGAAGTCCCCCTCACTTCATCTCAGTTTTTGCATCATGCTCCTTGGAAGCCAGCTCAGCTCTACACAGCTGTTCCATGAGAATACGTAAGTGTCAGAACAGTGAAGTCTAAACTGAAGTTATACAGTCGGTTCACATGCATCGGGTCTCTTACCACATTACAATGTTAGAACTTCCACCTAGGTTCAGACACTGGAGAGGGCATATTTCTGTCATGGCTGTTTCCTAAAAATTGTTCTATTTACCTTAAATAAAGTACTAAATACTGAAAGTAACAGTATCAAAGACCAAAGCTCAAAAGCTGGGTACATTGTGATGTTCAGAAGTCAGCAATTAGGGGTACCAGGAAATCTCAGGGATGTAACAGAAGCAGAAACAGGCAGAGAAAAGCAATCCGAAACACCACAACATGTTTTGCATTAGAAAGCAAAATGGTACTAAACCCCCAATCTCTGGCACTTGCCCTTCTTTCGAGGGAAGAAATAAGGACAGGAGTTAGTGCAGAAGGGAAATATTTAAAGCCTTTTCCCATAATGTCTGTCTTTCCTACCTTTGATTGAGCCACTGCAAGAGGCTCTTGTTCGTTAACAGCGATGTTATATGCTGCTATTTGAATTCAGTGGGGCACAGAGCCAAAGCATCCCACCGGAATATGAATGAGAAACAGCAAGAAACAGCAAGTGCCTCTGGAGAATGAGCAATGGCCAAGGGTGCTGGGCACAGCAGATAGGAATAAGAAGATCTGAGCCTGGGAGAGGCCATGCTACTAACTGTTCAGCAGAATATTTTATAAATTCAACTTCTTGTGTACTCTGTCTTCCTGAAAACTCCCAATGCCACAGACACGTGTATTTAGGATTAGGCTAAATCTCCCACATTGCGTATACCAGCATGGGCCTAGTGATGTGCAAAGGCTGCATTTTCACACCAAGGAAGTGAGACAAACTTTGGATCTGCTGCTGGATCTCATAGTCTGAAGAGGCAAAGAGAGTATTGGAGTCTATTTCCTGCTCTTCTCTTCTTGGGACTCAGACGCAAGAAGAATTTATGTGAAATTACCTCTCTTTGAAGACTTATGAGCTGCCTTAAGATGACTCTTCACTCAGTCACCTTTGATCAGGTCGTATGGTTGGTTTTAGACCATCACGAGTACACAACATACAGAGAAACGAATGAGCAATTGTAGGAAGCTACACCAATGGAGCAGAGCTCCTCATTTTTAAAATCATCTGGTGGAATGCAGAATAAGGAAAAAAATGACATCTGCATTTAATATGCATTAAAGAGAGATTAATTCAACTTAGCTTTGCATAAAACGCATGAGTTGAATTCTAGTTCTGTCAGATTTGCCAGAGACATCTTCACAGGCATTCTTTCACTGGTGGATCGCACCCCAGGGATCTACCCTTATGGAAGTTATAGAGCAATATAGATTAACCCATTCATCTTTGTCACACTTATCAGGCTACAGTTTATCCTGACACAATCATAAAAATATTTACCGATTGTCTGAACTGGTACATTTCTGATTAAAATTAAGTATGTATGTAAGCACAGTAAGGAAGTTTCTGGGATGCCCATGATGTAATGGGAGCAGTATTATTGATAGATGTAAACTCTGTCTACCAGTGTGCTCCTGAACAACAAATATCAAGAGATACACAGAGTGAAGGCACAGAATGAAAGAGCCATATACAGAACACTGTTTTTATTTGTTTGCTTTCTCTGCTTTAAAAAATGATGAAAACAGAGCGGAGGGTGTGAAAGGCATAGGGGGTTCAGATTTGCATTTTATTTAACCTAGCTCAGAAGCAGATGCACTGTACTGATGACATGAGATCCCATGATTAAGATTCAGAACTGGCAGGTCATTCCTGACCTGCTAAAGCTTTTCAAAACCTCTTGGCTATGGACTAGTTGATGGGACCCTTTACAGACCACAAGGTATATTGCTGTTTAAATCACAGGTACAGGCAATGTCATTAATGTCACTATTTCATCATTCTCTTGCACATTATGAGACTAAGCACACTAATTTAGCGTTACAAATCATCAGATACAAAACAGAATGCAAAGTATTGTCTTGATTTCATCATCTGCAGTGTGAATACATTCCCCGACCCCTCTGAGGAAAGCTTCTACGCAAAGGAAACCTGCATCTCTGCTGAGGCATTAAAGAAAATGACTGAAAGTTGTGAGCTACTTCTGCTGTGGTATGACATCTGACATGGCTCAGGCTGAGGGAACCTATACATCATAACCCAAAGGAAAACAAGGCTGGAAGAAAACAGAGAAAACAAACTGCCACCACAATCTGGGCACCATTTATCAGAACAGCTCTGCTTAGCCAACCCCCAAAGGACTGTGTGGCACAGCTTGAAGAAAGGGAAAATTTATCTGTGCTCCAGTGAGTTTTACTCTTCCTGCCCTAGGTAAGCAGAGACAAACTATTTTGTTCCCCTTCTGTGTTACACTGTCCCCATCCCTGCCCTCGCAAGCCATCACAGAAGCAGCAAACAGGATTTGTGCAGGGAGAACGAAGAAAGGAATTATTGTGTTAGCAGTTGTGCTGATTCAGCAGAATGTTGGCTCTGCATTAAAGCTCTAAGCAGAGTTAGAACCCACAGAGGGGATCAGTGCATTCATATGAAAATGCAGTGAAGGCAATGATTCAGCATGGATGGCAGACCCAGGAGGAAGCCTCTGGTGGCCTGCTCAGTTGTACCTGCCTTTCTGTGTAAGAATGGCCTAAAGAAGCTTTAGGCTAAATGTACCAGTTTTACAGAATGTCTAACTGCTGAAGTACCACAATGGCCAACTTTGAGGTGGTCCACCTTGAAAACCTCAGCTGATGCAGAACACACTCCAGGGTTACCTTATGTGAGGTCCTCACGTTCTGTGTTTGCCCGGGAGGCTTGCTCCTATGCCTCCTGACTTGCAGGGTGGTGGGATTAAGTGTGGACATTCAGGACAGCTCCTGGTCTTTCCTCATCTGCTGGGATCTTTAGGCACCCAGACACCAAGCTCAGCTGAGGCTGGGCACAGAGCTGTAGGCTTCTCCAACACTACCCAGATCAGATAAATGTAGCTGCTGGCAACAGAAGGTTGGTAGCTCAGGCTTCCCTCTTGCAGAGTTTCATAGTTGGAATGTAATGTTGTGTCACAACAAGGAGATGCCTAGTATTGTGTTTGCTTGACTGTAGGAAGGATGGACACGGGGAGAAAGAGAAAGGCACTCCCTGCAGGATGCCCATTATGTTAAAGTTTGGATCTTCTAGTAAAGGTAAATTGAATTGTACAGAGTGAACTGTACAGATCTCACATGACACTAACATCTTGCGAGCAGGCCTGTGGGTGGCCCTCAGGGTCTGATTTCTCCAAAGTTAGTACATCTGTTAGCTTACTTTACAACACTCCCCATTCCTCTGCCATGAAAACAGACGAGAGTCTCCTTAGCAGAGTCACAGCAAGTACTGCTGTTTGATCTAGTGTCCTTTGTTAAAAGTTATTCCTCTCTTTCTTGTACCTTGCACCTGGTGTCACCTGGCTGTCAATTCTTTACCCAGAGATGGGCGCATTCACTAGTGATGTGCATGCATAGGATCCATTTCCACTCTCACACCCACCCCCATAAAAGTGAAGACAAGGTGACACCTGTAGGTCCTGAAGCACCTTTTAAGCCTTACAATTGACAAAACCTTGTTCAGAAATGTAAAAAATATCAGGCTACCACCTCCATGAGCTTGTCCTGTGCAAATCATACATCTAGCCAACAACACCTTTTAAAAAGAAGGTAGATACAGATCATACCTGCTAAGACTGATGTGAAGTTGTGTCATGAGAACATAAAACTACTCCTCACGGCATTGCTCCTGTGTCTCCTACAAACTTCTCCAGAGTCAAGAGGCTCCAACTCTATCCAGGCAATAATTGCAGCTGCTCATAACTACACAATAGGCTTGCATTTGCAAGTCTGAAAGTCTCTCTTTAAACGCATGGAACAAATCTGTTTGTGTATCTAGCATAGTTCTTTTGCCTGGGCTCCAAAGCTGGTGAAATAGTGATGTAAAGGCTTTAGCTACTGTTTTTATTATATTATCTGGTGGGTTTTGAATATAATCACCTGCCAAGCTTCCTGCTGCCTGTGTCAGACCCCTGCTGCATGCACGTGAGAACAAGTACTAATTACCCCAACTAGGGGCTCTCCTGCACTAGGCAGGATACCCAATAAAGGACTGTGAGCTTGAGTCACCAGGGGCAGGTTAACAGGTCTAAGCATACACAGGTCAGAGGAGTGATGACTTGCGGGAGAACCAATCACATCCTCCAGACATAGGAATGATAAGAGGAATAACTGAAGGTGGCAGAGGACAGGGCTGGTAAAATGAGCGAAAGAAAAATAAGAGAGGGAAAATGTAGGCTAAATGCAAGGCAGGTCCCATGGGCAACTCTCTCCTGATATAAGACATATCAAAATGTTCCTACAGCTTTTCTTCAAATAATATCTTAGTTCAGCTTGGTACACTCTTCAGACAACATTGGGTACTTTGGTGTCAAGGTCTTGAAGACACCTCTAGAGAGATACATTGTGCCCAACATCTGATAAACTCTCTTTAACATACAGCTAACCTAGATGGGAACCGAGGGCACAGCATTGAGGATTTCTACAGTGGCTGCCCATCACAAGCTACACCAGGGGAAAGAGCTGAGGTACCAAATGCCAAATGGTGGCAGTACCTTCACTGCCCCGGGGCTCCCAGCTGTTGACCCTCATTGACTCTTGGTTATCTACATGCCCCACTGTCCCCCTGAAACCAGTGCTGGCTAAAAGTCAGTATGACCTACCTTAATTCAATGTTAAATCCAGCTTGAACATGAATAGTCCATTCACATCGTGCATTCAGTGGGTAACCCTCCAGCAAAATCTGTCCTCTAGAAGCCTGGAAAACCTGCCCGCACCCTGGGGAGCAAAAGAAGAAAAAAAAATCCGTGAGGGACCTTCAAGAGGCATTTGAAGAAAATACATGTAGAAACAACACCAGAATGAGAAGACAAGGTGGCTTAGGAAGATACATGCTTTCTTACAAGGCATTATATAAAATAACGGGACAGCCACAAAACGGCTATAAAGAGTTATGACTCTATTAGAGTATTGTCTAGGCTAAGAGCCCTCTAGAGAAGTTTTAGTTGCTTGTTTCTCCCTGGTTTGCAATGCAGCCCCATGAAATAATTTCTTACAGCTTTTGCCTCACTCTTGATTAGCCCACCCACCCACCTGGCTGACACTCCTGCTCAGAACAGTTTTGATGGATCTCATGTTGACCTGTGTAATTGCTGAAGCTGAGGAAGCTGGTGGGAAGTGCCACAGGTACAATGAACACTTGAATTAGTGCAAGTGAGCAAAACGACAGAAGGGGTTTGTCATAGTCTGAAGTACTTCACAAGGAGACTCTTGGAGGAAAAACAGCTGATATATTCCTAGAGGAGACATCTGTTTGTCCTCAGGATTCACCACATAATACTTACATGTTAATGCCACCATGCCAATGGAGACATATAACCATCACCAGCTCCTCCACAAATGACCACATGTAACACAAACATAATACATAGCACTCATCCCTTTTCTCAGGTTCATTCCCATCCTTCCTCTCCTCCTGTCCCACTCTGTCTGTATCATGCTCAGCTTTTCACCATACTATGAAATATACTTCAGTGCCCAGCATCAACAGAGTAAGAGGAAGTGGAATGTGGAACTCAAGGGCAGCCTGGGCTGCAGCGACCATGAAATGGTGGAGTTCAAGATCTTCAGGGCAGTGAGGAGGGTGCACAGCAAACCGGCTACCCTGGACTTCAGGAGAGCAGACTTCGGTCTCTTCAGGGATCTGCTTGGAAGAGTCCCATAGGATAAAGCCCTGGAGGGAAGAGGGGCCCAAGAAAGCTGGCTAATATTCAAGGATCACCTTCTCCAAGCTCAGGAGCAACGTGTCCCAACAAAGAGAAAGGCAGGCAAAAATGCCAGGAGGCCTGCATGGATGAACAAGGAACTCCTGGAGAAACTCACAAAAAGGAAGCCTACAGAAGGTGGAAGCAAGGACAGGTAGCCTGGGAGGAATACAGAGATATTGTCTGAGCAGCCAGGGATTAGTGTAGGAAAGCTAAAGCCCTGATAGAAGTAAATCTGGGCAGGGATATTAAGGGTAACACAAAGAACTTCAATAGGTATGTCTGTGATAAAAGGAGGACTAGGGAAACTGTGGGCCCTCTCCAGAAAGAAGCAAGAGACCTGGCTACCCAGGATATAGAGAAGGCTGAGGTACTTAACAACTTCTTTACCTCAGTCTTCACTGGCATGAGCTCAAGCCACACTGCCCAAGTCACAGAAGGCAAAGGCAGTGGCTGGGAGAAGGAAGAACTGCCCACTGTAGGAGAAGATCAGGTTCGAGACCATCTAAGGAACCTGAAGGTGCACAAGGCCATGGGACCTGATGAGATGCATCCGCTGGTCCTGAGGGAACTGGTGGATTAAGTTGCTTAGTCACTATTCGTCATATTCAAGAAGTCATGGCACTCCGGTGAAGTCCCTGCTGACTGGAAAAGGGCAAACATAACCCCCTAGTCACTATTCGTCATATTCAAGAAGTCATGGCACTCCGGTGAAGTCCCTGCTGACTGGAAAAGGGCAAACATAACCCCCATTTTTAAAAAGGGAAAAAAGGAGGACCCGGGAAACTACAGGCCAGTCAGTCTCCCCTCTGTGCCCAGCAAGATTGTAGGGGAATGAGAAGATGCTGAATTAGGATTTGACTTCCGGGACATGAAGCTTTTCCGTTAAGAGACCGGAAGAAGAACGCTTTGCCCTTAAGCAAAATGGAAGAGGAGGTGATGACACGGCCGGAAGGAGAACCACCTGGAATGTAAACAAGGGAACGAATTCGCTATAAAATAGTGTGTTGTTTTTAGTTAGTAGCCAATAAAAAGTTTTGTAGATGACATATTCACAGTAGTAAAAGACTAAAAAAGTAGTTGTAAAAGAGAAATAAAGTGATTCTTCTTCACCACCTACCGGAGTTCGCTCTTTTATCCTGCCACAACTGGCGCTCGAACAGGGACCTCTGCGATCCTGGAATAAAAAACTGCACAATCTGAATTGCAGGAAAGGAGTGACCGGCAAAGAATCACAGCTGAACGAAATAAAGATTAGTGGGAGAAGAGAGACAAAGGAGCCCCCGGCTGGATGAAATAAAACTACCGGTAGAGAGCTGCAAGTCCAGACGGAAAAAGTCCAGGCTAACCTTAAGAATCAGTGGTGATAGAGCCAAACCAGCGGTACAGAGCTGGAAGTCCGAGCAGAAAAGATTTGGGCTAACCTTAAGAATTGGCGGTGAAAAGAGCCGAACCAGCAGGGAAGAACCAAAATCAGCCGGTAAATAGAGCCAAACCAGCGGGAGAGCCAAGAGTCCAGGCGGTGAAGTTTGGACAAAGCAAAGTTGTCAGAAAAGAGCTGGAAGTCCAGAGGAAAAAGTCTGGGCTAAATTGATAGAGAGAGATAGAGATGTCTGGATGGGAAGGACCACTGGGCCAAAGAGCTGGCAGATACGGACGAGTAATCTCCTCAGAATAAGGTGAGCAGACAGGGACAATGGGGGCCAATACAACATCATAGAGCAAATACTCCTGGAACCTGTGCCAAGGCACATGGAAAACAAGGAGGTGACTGGTGACACCCAACACAGCTTTACCAAGGGCAAATCGTGCCTGACAAATTGGGTGGCCTTCTACGAGGGGGCCACAGTACTGGTGGATAAGGAAAGAGCAACTGATGTCATCTACCTGGACTTGTGCAAAGCATTGTGTCCCAACTGACAGCCTTGTCTGTAAATTGGAGAGACATGGATTCGATGGAAGGACCACTCACTGGATAAGGAATTGGCGGAATGGTGACACTCAAAGAGTTGTGGTCAATGGCTCGAAGCCCATGTGGAGACCGATGACAAGTGATGTTCCACAGGGGTCAGTA